TTTCACTTGACTTATGTCTAAGCAAGTTCAAAGTCCTAAGACATTCCCTAATATGTCTATTATGAGAGATATCTTAGTTTTAGGATGGAAATAGTTGCAAACTCGGGTTAAGGTCCTATGTCTAGGCTACTTAACCGGAACCCTTCTGTCTAAGGCGCTCCTCTCCTCGGTTTAACCACTCAACAATGCAAATAAGCAACCTTTTCAGTATTGACTTGTTAAGACTTACAGTGGCCTTCACTAAATCCTAACTTTTTGGGAAAACATGTTGAGCAATGAATGGAAAGCAAAAACACTACTTCTTAGCAACCCTTTTTAGAAATAAAAGGCTAACTATTCATAACCGGGCTAGAGATGGAAATTTAGAAAGACATATTGAAGAAAATACAGCAACTAAAATGGTTGAAATTGAAATGCATGTGTGAAAAACAAAAGTTAATTAACAGAGAGTTTTGCTCGGGATTGAGAGCTTCGCCCTTCTCTTTCAAGCAAGGGGGAGTGGGAGTGTCACGTGCTCTTTCCTCCAAAAACACAATTCTCTTAACTAAAAATAAAGTAAAGGCAAAGTAAAGATAAGCTAAGTGCTGAATTTTTATAAATTTGAATAGGTAGAAAATAACTAAGTAACAACGGAAACAAAACAAAGCTCAATAAAGGAATGTAAAGTTCTCGGGATTTAAAAACTAAAAGCATCTAATGAAAGCAACTGAAAAGTACTTAGAAAGCAACAAAGAAACACTAAGAATGATCAAGAGAAGGAAGCAAGGCTTGATGAATTTGGTGGAGAAGCTACTGGAATTTATAGTTGTGCAGAATTGGTTAGGTAGGTCTTAAAACGCTGGTGGATCACCCATTTCCAACTCCTTTGACTAACCAAATCATGCTCAAACTGATCGTGGAACACTTCTTCTACACGTATGCATCGGTTGGAACCACCAAAACGCATTGGAAGACGCGTTTCATTAAGGGCAAAGTTGGAAGAAAACCAGGATTTCTGCAGCCTACCAGGCGTCTGGCGCCTCCAATGAAGGTTTTTCCGTCTTTTTGCTTCTTTTGATTAATTTGCACTCCCACATGGTCCTAAAATGTCATAAATACAATATAAGCCAACCACAAACCATCATATATGAATTTTGCATGAATTGGAACTCAAACGGCCGAGAAAAAGTCCGAAACAAAGTTAAAACATAGTAAAATCTGCATCTAAAATCTTCTTTTTACGCATGTAAACAAGCATAATCAGTAGGGGATACTTATTCTTAACCGTAACTTTGTTTAGTTCCCTGTAATCTATACAAAGTCACATAGAACCGTCTTTCTTCTTAACAAAGAGCACGGGCGCACCCCAAGGGGACACGCTTGGGCGGATGAAACCCTTGTCGAGTAATTCTTCCAACTGTGCCGGAGCCATTCGATAAGGTGCTTTCGAGATAGGAGCCGTCCCTGGCAGCAACTCCATACAAAAGTCCACTTCGCGAGACGGAGGCAAGCCGGGGAGGTCCTCAGGGAACACGTCAGTGAACTCATTAACCACACAAACCGCCACAATGCTTAGCACAACCTTCCTTGCATCCACAACGCTAGCCAAATAGGCCCAAGCACCACGCTGGAGAAGATGGCTGGCCTTCAATGCCGACACCACCCTTGGGACCCGACCTTAACTCCTTTAAAGGTCAAGTTTTGTCCGGAGGGCAAGCAAAAGCTAACTTCCTTCTTCGAGCAATCAATATTAGCCCGGTTAGCAGCTAACCAATCCATGCCTGGTATCACATCGAAATCCTGCATATCCAGTTGGATTAACTTCACCTCCAAGGTCTGACCATCGAAAGAGAGCTGGCCTCCTTTCACCACTTGACTAGTGACCAACACAGATCCTGACAGTGTGGATACCGACAACACAAAGCCTAACGATTCTAGCTCTAGGTCCGCTTGTCGAACAAATGTAGAAGCAATGAAAGAATGACTAGATCCAGAGTCAAATAATGCATAAGCAGGCATACTAAGCACTAAAACAATCCCTGCAAAAGTAACACGCATGCAATAAAACACAAACCTATACACACAGCTCAAGACTCGCAAAGAGAAGGTACCTGTGACCACCGCCTCGGCATGCTCAA